CTCGCCGATGGCTTTGTCGTGCTTCTGCAGGGCGGTGTCGATCTCGGTCTCGGGTGCGATGGCTTCCTCCTTCCTGTCTGCCTCCATGGATTTCGTGAAGTTCAGCAGGTCGGCGAGAGACGGCTGGGGTAGCTCCTCCTTCGTGGGCCCCTCAGTAGCAGCAGTAGCAGGCGGGCTACCAAGTGCCCCAGGGCCAGCGCCGAGACCGCGGCCGCGCTCATCGGACTTCTCCTCCTTGCAGTCCACGGCGGGGGAGTCCTTGTCCTCGTCGCGCGCAAGGTCGAAGCGAGCAGGCACGGCTGGTTCTCGCTCCTGCGGCGGCACGGTCGGCGAGCCAGGGAATAGCGCACCAACCGTCTGTTGCGCAACATCTGGGCCGATGTCACCTCGCTTCGAGTGCCCGCCCTCGACCTCCAGCGGGCCGAAGACGGAGGTGAGCTTCCTGCGCGGCGCTGGGCCCGCCCACTCGCCCATGGACTCATCCTTGTCGGAGTCGGCGTCGTGGGCGACCTGGGTCTTCGCAGCGCGCCCGTCAGGGTGAGTAGCAGCGGCGGTCTCAGGCCCACGCTTGCGTCCGTGGTCTTTCCACGGGTCGTCAGATTGGAGCGGGTCGAAGGCGCCGGAGCACTTGCCGTTGTCGTCATGGCTGCCCTTGCCCCTTGCGAGTTTGCCACCCTTGCCGAAATACATCTGCGTTGGTAACTCGTTCTCTTGCTTGGCACCGAATGGCTATGGCTGGGCTCTCTCCTCGCTGGCCGTCGCCCCTCGGTCGGCTGCCTTAGGGGCTGAATCCCCTGCGCTGGCCATCGCGGGATTAACTGGCGCGACGCGCGTGGCGCCGAACAGAAGGAGGGGAAGTGTCCGCCAGCGCGCGACGCACTGGATCGCTCGGAAGAGAGCTGCCCGCTCGCATGGGACCTGGCCCCACTCGAGCCAAAATGGCAACGGGGGAGGAGGAGGAGGAGGGGGGGAAGGAGGAGGAGGAGGAGGAGGAGGAGGAGGAGGAGGAGAGGGAGGAGCATAAAGAGGAGGAGAAGGAGGAGGCGGAGAAGGGGGGGGGGAGGAGGAGGAGGCGGAGCGTAGCAGAAAGCGGGCCCCTCTCTGGCTAGCCTGGCAGCGGCGGACGGCGGGCTGCCTCGAGCCCGGAGCAGGTTGCGACGTCTGGCCTCTTCCAATTTCCTTGTGGCCGGACGCCGGGCCTCTTCGAGTTTCCTTCCGGCCTGTTGCCGCGGCCTCTTCGAATTCTCCTCTGGCCGGGCGTCTGGCCTTCAAACGCGGTCGTCGCGGCCTCGAGAAATCCGTCGAAGAAGACGTGGAAGAGGAAGAGTTTGAGCTAGACAGCTCATCGGCTCGCCTGGCAGCGAGCACCGCTTGATGGATATCACCACGTCGCAGTGGGCGTCTCTAGTCGCCGCGCAACGGGAGTCGAACCGACAGCCGAGCAACTTCGACCACATTGTGCGCATCATTATCGCATCAGCATAAGTAGGAGGACGCTGATATCTGCCGCTCATCAGACGGCATTGTGGTGGCACATCGCTGCAGTGCTCGCAACCGAAGGACCACGGAGCCCCAATCCGAACTTGACGGAGCACGGGATCTCATACTTCAGGACTGAAGCACCAAAATGTTGACAACGCTGACAATGAATAATATTGTGAGAGACCGTGTCTGGGGCGTCATGACATCCTTATATGCACTGCGCATTTCTCTGCATCGTGCAACACGTTATCCAGCCACCAAGATATGTCCGCAAGCAAATCATAGACCAAGATGCGGGAAGCTCAGCCAATCGCGCAGCTGCTGCAGGGAGATCAGCTGCCAGAACATTGAAGTGTTTCCGCAGCCGCGTCTGGAGCAACTGGCCCAGCCGAGCAGGGATTACTGCGCGAGTTAAGATCTGTTGGAAGCTTGCTCGCAATTTGATCCGTGGCAACCGACATGTAGATAAAGTCCCCGCTGCACCTGCAACGGCACGAACCAGGAGACCAGGAAGCGGGTCATAACCAAATAGAGCGCAGACCGTGGCCGGCACACTGCGCGCTCCAGCATGCCAGACGGCCAGCGCCGCGTGCCCACCGCGCTCGAGATCGAAATGCGGATCCCCCGAGAACCCCTGTGCGGCATCCTCAAGTAAGCAAGCAAAAAGGCGTGTCTCCCAGCAGCTAGAGGCCCTAACTGGAGAACTATAGGTTGCCACGCTGCACGATAAGTTCAAGGTGCGCCATCAGACGACGCTGCCAAGTAGAACGCGTGACCAGCGCCGAACGCACACGGGCAGCAGCCGCCATTGTGCACGCTGACGCAAAGCGAGGGCCGTTCCACAAACCAAGAGAAAAGCTCAGTTACCAGTCCGTAGCATGCCACTCGGAGCACGCACGATACGAAAGAGAAGATGACGTTGCACCCGAGACGTTTTCCAACCGAGAGGAACCAGCTGCGCGACAGGTCCAAGGACAGGAAGGGCACGTTCACCAAAAAAGATCAACTAGAAACGATAACGGAGCGCCCTGTCAGCTAAAATCGACGTTGCGAGTCGAGTGCTTCTCCCAGCCATCGAGCCGCCATCGCGGCTCTGGGCCCGCTCTAACATCCAAAGTACACGCGCGAGTCCGGGAAGACGAACACAGCCCACGTTGCACCGGCAGCTTGCGATTGGACGCGGAGCTCGGCAGCCGCCATGACACAGGCAGGATGCCGAAGCGGGGTTACAACTCATTTCTCGCGCTTGAGGTGTTAGAGTGCGAACGCAGCTGCGGACCAAGAGACAAGAGCGAACATGCGATAGCCACGACTGCGAAATAGAACAGCACCCAGATCTTCTGCGCACGAACGCGACGCCCCCAGCAGGATGCCCCCCCCCTCGCTTGAACGAAAACTCAAGATCCAGGAAAAAATAGCAGCAATCATATAAAGCGAGCCACTTAATGGGCGCCCTTGCCTGACCCCAGACCACGCGTAGAACGGGCCCTCCAGCGAGGCCCCCTCGAAGAAGCACGGAGAGCAGAAGTGGGGGGCCTTGAGACCCTCGAGCAATGGCGCGGGGAGTTTGAGGTGCCGAAGACAAGGAAAGGGCCGGCCACGACCAACTGATGGGAAGGCCTGAGCATAGTCGAAGGTCATCAGCGACGGGGTCTCAGATGCCATGTGTCGAGCAAAAACACTGGCAGAGCGAGCGCGCAAATCCAAATCCACCGCGTGATTCAAGACATCGTGGGCCTCGATCAACCCGCTGTGGCGCGCGCGCCGATGACGGGTGCAACCCGGTTGAGGCGCTTGATCATGAGCCCGCAAACGACCTTGTTAAACTTTTTTAAGCCCCAAGGCGCGAGCATCGGGCTCGCTAGCAGCGTCCGTGAGAGGCTTGGGGGGGACATGCGGCCAGCGACAAAGTCAAGGCAATGCCCATGAAGTTGCCACCCGCAATCCATCTCAACACGGAAATGGGGATCTCAGGACCAGCTCAAAACTCCCAAGCTGCGTGCTGCAAGCCATCGAGGCCAAGGGCAGCCCACGACGCAGCTTCCAGAACACGACGAACATCGTGAGCAACAGGAGGTGGGATATCAGCATTGTCGGCCGAACTCGGAAATCGCCGAAGACATTGCGCACCACGTTGGGGGGCATGCGGAGCCCTCGAGAACGCTGGGGCCCAGTGCCGATTGATTTCGCCTGCCAGATGAGACTCGGAAACCGACCCTCCAACCGCGCTTCCTTCCTGGATGGATTGGGCCCCCCCCTTCATCACACCTGCTGGGTACTTGCGCCTAAGCAGCGGATTCCAGAGCTGCGCAGACCGAGCAGCTGCACGCAACCGCTGCCTCGAGACCCGCCCTCCCCACGGCCGCCCCCCCATGGAGATGCCGGGGCGACGGCGCTTCCCAGAGACTGACCGAGCCCGGCTGAATCTGGATGCACTTCCGAGCCCAGGGATGCTGGAACCACCCAATCCTAGCTTGTCGAGCGCCCTCTTCCCAAACGCACCTAGCGACTGAACGTGGAACCGACGCCCTGGGCACGAGAGAAGAAGACGCGAAACGAATAAGAGCACCTTTTTACCAGTGAGCCCGCGGACTGCCTCGCCCGGGCGGCCATCGCAAGTAATCTGGGAGGGTCATGCAACAAGGGCCCGATACCCACCTCCTTCTCCAGCGCCATACCGACGCTCGCGTAAAGAGGAACGCGGGCCCCAGGACACCACGAGCGGGGAGTGATCAGAAAGCCCAGCGCGAACGAGTTCTCGCAGCCCCCCATGCGCGCGCTGACTGGAACGACTGGCAGAGCACCCATGGAGGTGAGGCAGCAGAGCGTATATCGATTTTGTTGGCAGACTGCGCCCCCCCCATGCCAGCGCGCGGCGGCGTCGGAGGCGAGCTCGGTGGGGCGCCGAAAGCTACCGCGCCAGACAGCATCGCGACCCCCCCCCCGATCTCGAGGAAGCTGCGCGGGCCACCTGTAACGGCCCTTGAGGTGCAGCGCGAGGATCTTGACGACCAAAGGCGGCGGCCGCTCCTTCCCCTCAGCAGCGATATTGAAGTCGCCCAGCAGCACGAAGGAAAAAACGCTCAGGGGTCTCGACGGACTTGCTGAACCTACTCACGAACTCGCGCCTGGACACGAAGGAGATCGCTGCGTACACGGCCATGATCTTGGACGCTCCATCGTACTATAGCGAATCCACTGCCAATGACAAATGAGCACCATGACGCGTCCAGGGATCAGAACTTCAGACGATGCACGCAGAGAAACAACGCCAGGCACAGGAGTCAGAAGGCCACCAGACGGAGAAACACCACTATTGGGTACAAAACTTCGGTGGGAAATGGCAACACAGTGGGGCGCCTCTGCAGCATCCGCACCACCATGAACTTCCAGCAATGGTGTCCATCAGCGCCAACTTCTTGAGCAGACCCATGCGTTTCGTCGTAGTACTAGAACTATGGTGCAGCAGTGCGCCGGCGTTCCACGTGACCAGCTTGAGGCGCGAGAAACCCAGGAACGCGTTGCCCAGACCACTGGATCTCGCCATCGTTGAAGGCATTCCTGGCCAGCTCCTGCGCCGCACCCCTGCCCAGGCCGATGTCGCCCGTGGAACACGAGGGGGGGGAAGGGGTGATCTTCGCCAGCGGCCCCCACTTGGCCAGGAGCTGCCAGCCCTCGCGGCCCACGAAGGTGTCGATGCCGCGCGCGTCGAGGAGAGCCCGCTGGAGTTTCTTGCAGGTCATCTCCGTCGCGATCTCCTTGCGGTTCTTGCCGACCGAAGCGCAGAGCGGGGCCGTTTTTGCTGGCAGGTCGGCAGCAAATTGCCGCCACCTGCCCGAACCAATGCGCAGGGCTATATGCGCCTGCTTGCGCCGCGACTCGCGCGTCGCAAGGAAAACCGTCCTGGAAGAGGACAGCGAACTGCTTGCTGATCTCATCGCCGATGAGCACGACTTCGGACCCCAGCTGAAAGTTGGATACCTCCAGCCACTCGGTGATCGAGGGGGCCGCAGTGCTCTTCGGAACCAGTTCGGGAGCGCGGATAAGCATGATCGTGTGGTCGACGACCCTGTCCCGATCGCTCGAGATGATCGGCGCGTCGCGCGGCCTGGCCCTCGCGAGGTCGAGTTCCTTCCCCGCGTGAGAGAGCCTCTCCTCGATAGCAGCAGCGCGCTGTTCAGTCGCAGCCAGCCGCTTGTCCAAATGATGCACTTGCTGTTGAAGGCGCCTGATCTGGTGATTGAATCTTTGTTCGGACTTATCCATGAGCGGGCCCGTGGCCTGGGCGAGCGACGAAGGAAATTAAAGTTGGAGGGGAGCCACTGCTGCAGCCGAGAACTCAGCAATCGCATCCTTCTTAACGTCTTGATACGATGCCTGAGCCCACGGGTCGGCACCACCACCAGCAGGCCCTTCTTGTGCCCGTCGAAGCCCAGGCTGAGCCGGTGGAGCAGGCAGAGATTGCGGAGGGCCATAGTCCATCGGAGCGGCGTCGGGCGTGGGGCAGCCGTGAACTTCATCATCTGGGAGGGTGTTGGCGAGGTCCCGTTGCCTGATGATGCTGTCATCGACCTCGTCATTGGCAGGAGCTGGCTCCCCTCCAGCATCAGGACGACGCCAATAATCATCACGACAAGAGCTTGACGCAGCACCACGACGGGAAGACGGGGGAGGCGACCTCGGCGGTGTCCGAGAGACAGAGCACACCGAAGATATCCTTCTTCCTCGGTCGCCTCGGGGTCGCGAGCGCATCCTTCCATCATGCTTGACCTTCTTCTCCTTCTTTCGAACAAGCATCCGCCTTGACGTGCAACTGGAAACTCCACAGTTTACCCTCGCCCGACAAGGAGTCGACACACTCTGGTGCCTCGATCCAAACATGGGCAGACAGGCCGAGAAGCGATAGCAAACCGCTGACTATCTGTACCCACGGGTTCCCCTGTGGAACAAGCATCTTGAGCCAAAATGGCTACGGCGGAGGAGGAGGGAAAAGGAGGAGGTGGAGGAGGAGGGGGAAGGAGAAGGAGGAGGAGGAGGAGGAGGAGGAGGAGAGGGAGGAGGAGGAGGAGGAGGAGGGGGAGGAGGAGGAGGGGGAAGGAGGAGGAGGGGAAGAGGAGGAGAGGAGGAGGAGGAGGAGGAGGAGGAGGAGGAGGAGGAGGAGGAGGAGGAGGAGGAGGAGGAGGAGGAGGAGGAGGAGGAGGAGGAGGAGGAGGAGGAGGAGGAGGAGGGAGGAGGAGGAGATGGAGGAGGAGGAAGCGGAAGAGGAGGAGGGGGCGGCAGCGCGCACACAAGCGCCTGCCGACCTCGTCCTTCGGCGCCGCGTCCCTGGGCGTGGCGGGGCCCTCCAACCTGGGCGTGGCGGGGCCCTCCAGCCTGGGCGTGGCGGGGCCGCCTGCACGCCGCCAAGAAGGTATACACTTAGGTCGGGCGCGTCCTCCTACAAGGGGATCTTGGACGAAACAGCAGAAAGAGTCAAGAAAACAAACATTGTAAACACATTCGAACTGTCTGCCCTTGATGTTTCGAATGTGTTTGAATATTCCTCCTGTAGAGGGACAGGCCCGACTTGACAGAAAGTATACACGGACGCTCTCCGACGAGCCTTGCACGTGCCGTCAGGGAGGGCGGCGACGTATGCTGTCGCTGGCTCTCAGTGGTGTTTGCTACACCGCCATCCTCCCTGAGAGCCTGGCGCTGCGATTTTTCACACCAGGCGCTTTCGCCCAGGCTCGGGCCCCGGGGCCCTCACAGATGGATCCGGCGCGCAGAGCGTCGCAGAAAGATTGGGTCAAGGGTCCTGGGCGTGATCTTTAACGATGCTGCATGTTTTTCGGGGGCGCGCAAACATGGATTAGCGATCCATGGATTTGGCGCGGGGTCGCCAAATCCATGGATCGGGGGAGGTGCCCTCTCCAAAGTGCGGCCGGTGCCGCCTCGCTCGGCAGCGGCAATCCGCGATTTCTCACGGAAACGGGACCCGTCGCTGCTCCACGCCCCCTTAAAATCCATGTTTGCGATCGCCTGAGCTGTTCCTCGCGTCGGATCTTAGGGTTCCCCCGGGGCCCAGAAACATAGTCCACTGGAGGGCGTCCGTGCAAAGATCCTTCGTGGCGGGGCCTGGGCCGTCCCTCTCGGTGAGCGCGCCGTCCTCGTGCCTCGGCGTCGCGGGTCCGTCCTCGTGCCACGGCGCCCCCACGGGCGCAGAGCCGACCTCGAGCCTCGGCGTCCACCCCGTAGCGCCTGGGCGCGCGCGCGCGGCTCGGGCGCAGCCGCGCTCAACGGGCCCCTCCCCTCCGAATCTTTCGCGCGCGCTGCCGCCCTGAACTGAACAGCGGGCAGCAGAAACGGAAAAGTTCTCGGAGGTCGGCGCGGATTCCTTGCATCGGCGCTGGGGCGCGCCAGCAGACTTCCGAGAAACGACGTTTGTTGTGCCGCTTCGTGTTCCTCGAGCCCCCGCCCCTCGTGCAGGCCACGAGCCAGAGACACGCACTCGAGGGCGACCAGCCCAGGAGAGAGCAATGCATGTGCCCAGGGGCGCCGATGGCCCATGCCTTCGGCGAGGCTCCCCGGCGAATGCGTACAGTGCCCGCCCCTGGGCTACGTTCACTCCTGACGTCTTGGCACGCGGAGTTGGCGCGGCCGCGGCCCGTGGCCGCGCCCGCGGCGGGGGCCTCCGAGGCTCGTCGTCGTCGTCGTCGCCGTCGTCGTCGCCGCCGTCGTCGTCGTCGTCGTCGTCGTCGTCGCCCCCGGCACACGGCGGGATGCACGCGCGGGGCTGTCGGAAACGGGCGGGTCCGCCGCTCGCGCGCGGGCGCGGTGCTGCAGCTTCGCGGCGGCCGATGCACCCCCGATCGAGAGCCGCCGCGGCCTGCAAAGTGCTGCCTTCCCTCCTCCTCCTCCTCCTCCTCCACCACCTCCTCCTGTTCCTCCTCCTCCTCCTCCTCCTCCTCCTCCTCCTCCTCCTCCTCCTCCTCCTCCTCCCCGAGCGTGCCCCGAGCGGCGGCCCTCGATGATCGCGCCGACGCTCTAGGCCGCCTCGCCTGAAACCGCGCGGCCCCCACCTGCGCTTGGTCCACCCCCATCGGGCAAGACAGGGCGAGAGGCAGACGGAAGCACGCGCAGGGCATTATACATATAATATGCGTGCACAACAGACTCGAGCGAGTCGACGCTCGGATTTAAACCCCGAAGCGGTCCAGGGGGCAGTCGGACAGGTCAGAACCCACGGAATCCCGAGCCAGGCGCCGGAGACGCGGACAAGTCCAGAAGTGCCAAAACGTGTTTTGGGCTCCTGGGCAGCCTAGAAAACAGCATTCGTGTTTCTGAAAACGGTGGGGGGTGACCCAGCTACCAGTGAGAGTTTTTAAAATCGCACAGCACCACGCGGGGGGGAGGGGGGCCATCACGCTTCGAACTGCACCCCAGTCTATGTTCTCGATCCGTGGTCGAAGAGCAGGTAACCATCTCAACAATCTGCGCTGGATCGTGTCTTTCACCATATTAAGGTAAAGTGCAGCCACGATGTGCTTATATATTACACTCTGAGGATGTAGTGTGTGTGCGGGGCGGTGTGCACTATCGGCGAGGTATTCTTCAAGTTTCTGAACCGCACCGGGCCCAATTCTGGATCATCAGGGAAGTCTCCGGACGCGGCCTCCAGCGCGACGGCAAAGGGCTCGGACAGCCACCGCTCTGGTGAACAACGGCCCTCGAGCACCTGCACGATGGGCAAGTGTTCGGCAGCAGCTTCTCGCAACCTCCGATGAGCATCACGCCACTCGGAGATCGCGCAACGGCTCATGCGCACGAGCTGGGCTGCGTTCGTAGCGGTCAGGCTGGAGAGCGACGGGCCGCCGAACGACTGCAGGTCAAACCAATCACCGCGCGGGGACGAGCAATGTGGAGCCTTGAAAACTCGAGCGAGCTGAGCGAACTCCTGACGACGAAGATGTTTAGGAAGAAGAGCGAATTGACCGACATACGATAATACAGTCGTGCCACGTTTGTTGTACATGCTAGTGTTCACCTGACCTGCAGCGCCCGCGCCCGCTAGAAGGGGGCATCTCTTCACATACTTCTGGAAGGGTCCCGTCCAGGAATCGCGATGAACGCCGGGCTCGAGCCAGATCCCCAGGTATTCCACGCGGTCCTGAATGCTAGAGTCGGCCCACTGGAGGTTCCTTTCAAGCCACCTCCGGAAGCGCTGGATTAACGCCGGGTCGAGCGCACCGCCGAGCGGGACCAGGCAGCACTTCGGGATCTTCAAAAGAGGTGCGCGCACAGCTGCGCCTCCTTGAAAATCGCATGCACAGGGCCAAGCAACTGGATTCGCCTGAGGACCATTCCTATGTCGTCGGCGCAGGCCCGGGCCCGTCTGTCACCAGGCCCATCAAGGACCCCCCGGAACTTTCTCAAGAACGGGTCCAAGAGGATCGAGCAGATCAGGCCAGAAGCAGGGCAACCCTGGATAATCCCCCGCGCGATCCAAAAAAGAAGCTCTCGGGCTCCACCAACGCGCCCAAAGCAAAGCACGCTCTCATAAAGCAAAAGGAGGAAGGCCTTGAGGGGCTCGGGAATCCTGAGGGACATGATACCATTTTCAACCACTGCTGCGCCGCCGACGGGAAGGCCTGGCCGAAGTCAATGAAGACCCCCGCCGCCGCGCCTCCAGAGGCAACCAGACCTACCTCAAGGGCAAAAGCGTCTAGCTCGACCATGTTCCCTCCGAAGCTTCTTCCAGCCACAAAACCTTTCTGAGATAAACCCAGGAACTCAGGAAACTTCTTACTAAGAGTTCGGCAACAAACGCTGGTGATAATCTTGTTATCGCTGTTTTTCAAGCCCAGAGGTCTCGTATTTCCAGGCTCTCTAGCGATGAACGCGTTGTCCTGGGGGTCGTCTCCTTTCGGGATAAGAACTCCGAGCGCCTCGTGAAAGTCCCAAGATAAGACCTTGCCCTCTAGAGTGTAGGCCATGCTATCGCACAACGCGCGGGCGCCGCCCGTCGCGTTCGCCCACGCCGCGTAGGGCAAAAAGATCAGGCCCAGGCGCAGAATGCTGCAAGCGACGAAGATGACCACATAAGTCCTCGCACCTGGGCATCGGGAGCTCAAGCGCCTCGATCTACACAGGGAACTGGCTGGCGAACGTGGCTGCACCTGCCTCGTCAAATGGCTGGCTGTCGAAGACCTTCTCCCAGTGCCCCGCGAGCGCGCGAAGCATCTGAGATGGTTCAGGAAGAACGGTGCCCCCAGAGACAGCGACACCCGGAAGAGACAGCCGACGGTCGGAGGGAGACCACAACTGCGCAACTTTCTGCAGTCGTCTGGCCCGTTCCCGAAGCTTTCGCTGGGATTTGGGATTCCCGTGGGCTTGTGCAGCGCCCAGAACTTGGGCTTGCTGCGTTCGCGCCGCCTCGGAATGCAACTGGCTCGAAAGCTCCGTGAACAACTCCGGGGCAGTTAAACTTACACTCTGAGTTCTGAAGTCGATCTGCAAATGGCCTCTCGCTAAAAAGGGGCCCCGCCTACGAGCGTTCAGCCAGCCTGACGCCTTGGCGAAAAACTGCACGGGCAGCACACCGAACGATCATGTACATTGCGAGCGACGAGGTCGGACGGCGAAGAATGATACTGGTTCGAGCACGTCTGGCCCCTGCAATCATCAGTTTCTTATAGCAAGCGTGTTTTGCCAAGGTTCGGGGTTGTCGATCGGAGCGAGCTGCACTGCCGGCCACATGAACCGCTTGAATTCGTCAGTCTCGAAGAGCGCCTTCGGAATGGGCCTCGTTCCTTTAGGCGGAGGCCCTCGAAACCTCAAAGTCACCGCAACGGCGCTGTAGTCCGATATCTTCCTGGCCTGGAGCGTCTCGGGGCGACCCAGAACTCCCCCTCCCGAGGCGAACTGAGTCGTGATACGTCCAGGGGCCACAAAGAAAATGCGGTCGATGTACGAAAGCGTTTTGTTCCCGTGGTGGTAGCGGGCGGGGCCCTCTATTTGGCACTCCGCGAGGCGTCCTAGAAGCTCGCGCCAACCAGCAGGCGCAGCAGCAGACGGGGCCACGCCAGGTGAACCAGGGGGGTCAGGAGATCCTCCAGGAGATCCAGGGAGTCCATCAACACCGCCGTTTCCACCGGGAGGCTCTGAGGGTCCACCAGGGTTACCAGGGGCAAGAGGATGGAGAGGGATGCTGCCGAAGTTATCGCCGCCCGCCAAAATGACCAGGCGTTGGAGAGGATCCGCTTCAGCAAGAAAGAGATCATGTTGAATCGCGTCTAGAACCATGCGTTTATCAGCTGTACTCGTGTTCTCGTTATGAATGTTGTAGTACAATATCCACGCGGTGTTATCGACGTTAGCGAACTTGGCGTTCAGAATCCTACCAAGGACTAGAGGGAGGGGAGAGACTACGGGGCGCTCGACGCCACAACTGGCTACGCGAACCTGGGAGTCAGAGTGCTGAGGGAAAATGGCCACCACCCCACCCGAACGGTGAGACAGAGGAGAGAAAGAGGAGGTGATATAGAAATCCTTCTTCAGCCGATGGAGCAGGTTGCTCACCTCAGCCTCGGAGCCGTGCGCGTCCTGGATGGATGACGATGGCGCCCTCCTGCAGCAACTTTGCGGAATAGCGATGCCGTCGGAACCGGGTCTTATCCTTGTGGTGCTGGAGGGAACTGGCGTTCCAAGTCACAACTCGAAGGGGTACTGGCTTGCGCCTGCTGCCGCTCATCAGGGAGTGCATCCTGCTAAAGACTCCACTGTGTATCCACTTCGACTCGGCAGATCGCCTCTCGCACCAGCGGCTCCAGCATCGCGCGATCGAAGCCCTCCGCCAGTAAGTAGCCAGCAAGCAGCCCATCGAATGAGCGGCCCCCCGTCCCCCTCCTGCGGGGCCACCTGCGCCAGCGGCTCCCAGTTGTAGGAGACCGTGCCCTTGATCCTGCCCGTGAACACCTTTTGTTCGGGTAGACGGTGTGGAACACGCGTTTGACGGCCTTGGTCGCCTGCTCCGTCTTGATCTGCTTCGCATTCTTGTCTGGCCCCAGGAAAACCTCCGAGCGACTTCCAGTGACCGAGGGGCCCTCGAACTGTCGCCAACTCGCTCCAGCAGCCTGAGGTCGAAGAGTGCCCAGAGCTTGCTGCACCTTCCTGCTTGCCCATCCCGTGGCGCCACATATCCGCAGCATGAAGCGGCGGCTGGTGGGCCCCCCCTCCAAGTTCCACTCGTTGTCCGCCAAGTTCTGCTCCGAAGTCCACGGGCGGAGGACGTTCGCCACGGCATCCTTCGCCATCTGCTTTTTCGTGCGCACCATGATGATCGTCGCGTCGATCTCGCGGTCCCAGTTGGCCGAGACGGTGGGACGAGGAACTGGCACCTCCGAGCGTGCCAACCCCATCTCCGTGTTGAGGTACTGGATATCGCTCTCCAGGTCGTCCATCCGCTTCTTGTGCTCACGCTGTCGACCTGCGTCGCGAGGCTCGCGCAGGTGGACACAACCTTGTTTTGCATGTTGTTGGCCGAGGCCTGCAGCGCGGAGACCGACACCTGGCATTTCTCCACGTCCGCCGGCAGGTCCGTGCGAAATTGCTCCACCAGTGCTCGAAGTCCGTCATGGTCCCCTCCAGAGCCGACGAGCTGGAAGCATCCATCAGCATTGCCGGGAAGTTCTGTGGCTGCACGTTTCGCCATCTTCCCTGATCAACCTCGCCACCAGCTGCTACCGCGACCCCGCGGAGGAGCTGCCCAGGCGCCCAAAGGCCGAGCAAGAAAACAGCAAAAGTGAAAAGAGTGGGCGCGCGCTGGCCGCCCGTCCTGTCTGCGCAGGGGAAGCTTGAGGTCCTGGCTACGGAAGAGGCCAAGACCAATCAGGTGACCTCGCAACATCGTTGTTTCCCCCCGTTTGGACTTGAGCCAAGATGGCTACGGAACTCCTCCTCCTCCTCCTCCTCCTCCTCTTCCTCCTCCTCCTCCTCCTCCTCCTCCTCCCCTTCCTCCTCCCCCTCTTCCTTATCCTCCCTCTCCTCCTTTCCCCCATCCCCGTCCTCCTCGTCCTCCTCCTCCTCCTCCTCCTGCTCCCTTTCCTCCTCCTCCTCCTCCTCCTCCTCCTCCTCCTCCTGCTCCTCCTCCTGCACCACCGCCAGCCCGCCAACACTCGTGTGCCTTCGCAGAGGGGCGGTCGCCGTCCAGAGAGGGCAACGCGGCGGAAACTCACGAAGTTCGGGCGGAAGCTTGAGGGGCAACGATGAGAGGGGGTAGGCAAAGGGGGGGGCATCGACCTGGAATGGAACATATATCGTCCATGTATCGTCGGTACATCGTTGAAGAAGGCCGCCCAATGTATCGTCTACACATCGCCAAGACATCGCCCTGATATCAACGATGCATCGTCGATATATCAATCATTCGAGGTCGGTGCATCCCCCCGATTCGTATCACACACCCCATCGTTGCCCCCGAAAGCTCCCTCCGGGCACCAGCGAATTCCGGCGGTGTGCACGAGGGGGGCACTGCGAAGGGGGCTGCCATCTAAGAAGGCAGGGGGTCTGCAAGAAGTACATATCCTGCACCCTCTCAGTGCCAAGGGGGCTCGGCAGCAGGCAAAGGTACTTCGAAGAAGACAAAGCGCCCTCTTACAAGGCCGCCTCATTCGCCGTACTCTCCTTTTTCGCGCCGTCGAATAACACTGCGACAATATGAAACAAGACGCTGCCAGGACCCAGGCGAGGTCCCGACGGCACCCGAGAACCACAATGATCGTGGTGCACATGGAGGTTCCGTCTGGCGCAGCCATTGACCAGCCTGCACTGACGGCGCAGTGACCGAGCCAACCATTTGTTCTTCCTGTCGCCCAGGAGCTTCTACCAAGGAAATGGTCTCAATGTCTGACCTTGGATGCTCTGTGCACATACATGTTCTAGTGGGACGTTCCAAAATAGCATGCCGTTCAAGTTGGAGTGGCCTGGTGTGGCCGACGACTCGCACCCCGTCCGAGCACTGTGATGCTCCGCCGCATCCCAGTGTCTCGCACGTTGGGGGAGATCTTATTGATGGTGGGGGTTGGGGCGATCGTGGTCTTTAGTTCTTGTGCCCAAGCATCCGTTCTGTCCTCAGTTCTATCTTACGTGCGCGCAAGCAGTACATCAATCGTGCAAGCGGCGCTGGCAATCCACAACGTTTTAAAGCAATACGATTGCCCATCTTCATCGGACAATCGGGCAATCGGGCTCCACAAACTTCCAATATGGGCGGCACGTACCTTTGATGCAAACATCCGGCCACGGCATCTGGGAAAACAAATGAACATTCATCGTGTCTGTCATGGCTTGCGCTCAAAATGTGGCCATGATATCCGCTGAACACATGTGTCTTGAATGTGCTTCATTGTTTCCAAATTGGTGGGCGGCTTGGGGCACCTGTACATTTTCAGATTTTCTAAACAGCGAAATTAAACGATTAGCATGCGGGGTGAGATTGGTCGGCACCCGTGCCCACCATGACCGTGCAACTGTGCTGACTTATGTGTGAGCAAATGCTCATATTCATGGGGACCCCAGTCGAGGCCAACGCGCAAGCCCTGGAAGCTAGACAGGAAAGGATCACGAGAAAAACGGGGTTTGTTGACCTGTCTTTTTCCTGCTTCTTAAGCCCGCAGAAACTCTTTTCATCAGGACCCATACTTCTCATAATGAGTTTCGCGAAGCAGCCAGGTTCATGAATGGTCGTCGCCTCTTGACAGGTCATCGCCTGTTTTCAAACATGCCGCTTGCCAAACAAATCCGACCGATACGAAGACACAAATCGAGAACCGGTCGGTCTGGTCGAGGGCAGACCAGGACACGTATGTGTGTTATTGCGGCGTAGGCACGCGCGAACGCAGATAAAGTCATACCAAGAAGCAGGCAGCATTAGAGACACGCCGCGGTCCGTATATCTTTGTCCCCATGAGCTACTATCAGTTCCTGCTAGCCTCCTCTGGTATGATTGGAAAGTGCCTGCCTGGAACGATTGGTCTGGCGCCACGGAAAGGGGATCGCCGTGCAATCAGCAAAACTACTCGGCAATTGCACCTTGCACTTTCGACACACCCACCCTTGAAAAAAACCCACACTCCTCTGGCCGCCGTGTGCGAACCGTTGGAACATTGGCACGGGAAGCGCTACTTGGCGCTCGCAGGTGCTCAGCAAAACGGTGGCTGAACACAACATTGCGACTTGCTGGACGCGAGCGACAAGTATGGAATAACCAGATCAATTCATTCAGGACGCCGAACTCAAACAGTCCCGAAATAGTCTCCGTCCATTGATACAGGCCCTCGGCCCATCTAGCGGGCCAACATCTCGGAGTCCGGCCAGCCCCATCCAGAGATTCGTCCTACCGAAGACGGAATCCGAGACGAAAATACTTAGACTCCGGCACATGCCGACAAGCTCGAAACGAAGCATCCTCTGGCGAAGTTGGAAGGCACCAGGGATCAAAGAGGGAAGCGGAGGGAGGCACCAGGGGACAGGGGGGCTGTGAGAGGTGGTGGGCATCAGAAGAGAAGGGCTGGCTCCCCGGGGGGGGAGGTTCATCGTCATGGGTATCGTCATCGTCATCATCTATCGTCATCGTCGTCGTCAAGGTCCTCCCTCCCGTTCCGTCGGCAGATGCTCCCCCGCCATGTGGTGCGTCCCTGTCAGTCTGCTCTCTCTGCACCCCCCCCCTCCCTGGCAACCAAATCTCTCCGCTCGCCACTCCTTCTGCGGATCGGGCTCCCGCCCTTCGCGCCTGCATCCGCCCGCGGGCTCGCATCTGGATTCAGGTCGGCCGCATAAATCAGCATCCGAGGGCCTCACTGGCGGGCGCACTTCTGGCCTCGGCGGGCCGTCGCCCAAACACACACACACACACACACACACACCCTCCTCCCGCTGCCCTGCTGCCACCGCTGCTCTGCTGATGGAGCTGCGGAGCGGGAGGGGCGAAGGAGAGTGGGGGGAGGGAAGAGGGGAGTGCGAATGGAGAAGGTTACAGATGGGCAAAAGGAGGAGGAGGAGGAGGAGGAAAGAGAGAAAGAGAGACAGAGAGAAAGGGAGAGAGAGAGAGAGAGAAAGAGTAGGAACAGGGATGACTACAAACGGGGCAGGGAAGGATGCAAAGCTCAGGGAGAAATAACATGTGAAGGATGCAAGCTCAGGCCGAGGCGCACAGCCGAAGAAACGATGGCGTGCCGCAGAATTACACCGCAGCGCAGCCGAAAGGCTTGGCAGGCGAGGACATGAAGTGGCCCCTAACGCGTGCACGCACACACACACACACACACACACACACACACACACTGTTGGGGGGATCGCGGCCTCGCGCGCAGCGACGAGGCGGAGAAAAGTCCCCCAAGCAGCCAGAGCGCGCGCGCGCGCGGCCGGCCCCTCAGAAGATGGGGCAGGACACGCACACGAACACACACACACACACACACGCGAACACACGAACAAGCACGAACACACAAGAACACACACGAACACACACAAAAACACACAAAAACACACACACACACGAACGCACACGAACAAACACGAACACCAAGGTTGGCGAACTTGGCGCCCGAGACGCACGCAAACTGCCGACTCCGGAGCTCGCCAAGCCCGGGACGCGCGCGCGAAGCAGACGTGCCGGAACTGCGCAGTGTCCTCCTCCTCCTCTCCTCCTCCTCCTCCTCCTCCTCCTCCTCCTCCTCCTCCTCCTCTCCTCCTCTCCTCCTCCTCCTCCTCCTCCTCCTCCTCCCCCCCCCTCCTCCTCCTCCTCCTCCTCCTCCTCCTCCTCCTCCTCCCCATGGGCACGCACCGACGCATGAGGCAAGCAGCTCCTGCGTCAGAGGCGCACGCGGGGCGCACTGGCATCCATCACCGTGTCCCCTGGCACGCTACAGCGCGGCAGGATACCAAGGGCTGCCTGGCAGCGTTTCTGCCATCTTCTAGGGGGGACCCCCCCCCCGGGGGCAACGCTCCCTGGCATGCTTCGCCCCCCCCCCCCCAATTCCCCCTTTATCATCTTACAGAACAATAGATCCAGGCCACGACCCCTCATGAAAATTATCAGCGCGAAGGACCTCACCATTTGCAGCTACGCGGATGCTGATCATGCTGGTGGTAATGCCAATGAAGATGACGATGCTGATGACGATGGGTGATGGGGTGATGGTGATGATGAGGACGGGGAGGAGGAAGATGACGATGACGAGGAAGGAGGAGAAGAAGGAAGAAGGAGGAGGAAGGAAGGAAGGAAGGAAGGAAGGAGACGCGGGACCCTGCTGATTCAAAGCGAGGACCCAACACCACAGGATGGCTGGGGAAAACGCATGGGCCCGTGCTCCGAAGGCTACGATCTCTCGCGACAGAACTATAGATCCGCACTCCCGAGGTGGCACTCCATCGTAAAAGGTAATTGGTTCGTGTTCCCAAGGCCACGGCCACTACTAAAATTAGCCTGGCGAAAGACACAACAACATTCAATTGTGAATGCCACAGTTGTCAATACCATCTTCGGGGGAACTCCCTACGGGGCCACGAAACGTGTAAGAGGTGTGCCGGAATAGGTGTTGTGGCGCCATGCGAACCCTCCCACTGGGACCTTCGGAGGAGCCCCCTATGGGGCCACGAAACGTCTGAGGGGTGTGCCGAAATGGGTGCGGTGGCGCCATGCGAACCCTCCCACAGAGGCCTTCGGTGGGGCTCCCCATGAAACACAAACGTGTGAGGGGTGTGCCGACACGGGTGCGGTGGCGCCATGCGAACCTTCCGAAAGAAGCCTTCGGTGGAGCTCCCATATGGGGCCACGAATAAGGGAATGGTGTGCCGACATGGGCGCGGTGGCGCAATGCGAACCCGCCCACTGGGGCCTTCGGTGGAGATTCCAATGGGACCACGAAGCGTGTGATGGGTGTGACGAAATGTGTGCGGATGCGCTGTGCGACCCCCCCCACTGGGGCCTTCGGTGGGGTTCCCTATGGGGCCACGAAACGTGTGAGGGATGTGCTGACATGGGCGCCGTGGCGCCGTGCGAACCCTGCCACCGTAGCCTTTGGTGGAGCTCTCTAGAAGGGCCACGAAACGTGTAATGTGTGTGTGCTGAAATCTAGCTGATAGTGGTGGTGGCAATACTGAGGCAGGGAAAGGAGGAGGGAGGGGCAGCGGGAGGGAAGTGAGGGGAGGTGACGCGGGGCGCTCTCTTCAAAACGAGGACCCAACACAACAGGAAGGTCGGTAAAAACCTGGTGAAGGAACCAATCATATGCAGCTGCGGGTATCGCGAGGAAGGTGGAACGAAGGCTGGGGGGCACGAAACGTGTGATGGGTGTGATTAAATGGACGCGATGGCGCCATGCGAACCCTCCCGATGTGGCCTTCGGTGGAGCTCCCTACGGGGCCACGAAACGTGTGAGGGGTGTGCCGAAACGGGTGCGGTGGCGCCATGCGGACCCTCCCACTGGGGCCTTGGGTGGAGCTCCCATGTGACAACCAAACGTGTGAGGCGTGCCGAAATGGGTGCGGTGACGCCATGCGGATCTTCGCCGTTCTGCACTCAAGTGAGAACAGTTTTCTTCGACGCACCACGATCGCGCCTGAGTCCTTCGCGCCGGCGACTGCTGCAGGAGGGCGGCGCAGAGGTGCGCCGAAGAAGGCTGTGGGTATTTTCGGCAGTGTTCGCGCGACGGTAGACGCCGCGTAGTCTGTTTCGGGCTGGAAGCGCACTCTTCGCCATCACATTCTCTCACTATGATTATCCAAATGCTTTGTGTATTGTATTTTCCTCGCTGTCTGTCCACGCACCGCCTGCTGTACGACTCGGAAGAAGGAAGCAATGACGCCATGCGGACCCTCCCTCTAGGGCATTCGGTTGAGCCGCCTTATGGGGCCACGACACGTGTGAAGGGTGTGCCGAAAATGGTGCGGTGGCGCCGTGTGGACGCTCCTACTGGGGCCTTCGGTTGAGCTCCCTACGGGGCCACGAAGCGTGTGAGGAGTTTGCCGAAACGGGTGCGGTGGCGCCGTGTGGACGCTCCTACTGGGGCATTCGAATCGGGTGCGGTGGCGCCACGCGGACCCTTCCACCGGGGCCTTCGGTGGAACTCCCTATTGGCCACCAAACGTGCGAGTGGTGTGTCGAAATGGGTGCAGTGGCGCCATGCGGACCCTCCCTCTGCGGCCGTCGGTGGAGCACCCTATGACGCTATGGGGCCACGAAGCGTGTGAGGGTCGCGGAGGGAAGAGGAGGGGAAGGAGTTAAAGAAGGAATGAAGACGCGTGGCGCTGCTGATTCAAAACTAAGACCCAACACCACAGGATGGCTGGCAACAAGAGATCTGGACAACCCCGGAATGCTCCCTGACGAGGCGCAGCTGCTGGCAAGCACCTCGAGGCGAGAAAGCATTCAAGAGCCGACGAACGCTGTCCTAGACGTCTTCTTGGACGCCCACACTTGAGCGGGGATCGACTGTCCTGCAGGCCTACCACGACATGCTCAAAGAAGACAACGTTCGCCCAACGGAAGCCATCTTCTTAGAACGCAGAGCGATGGATGCAAGCAAGACTGTCGCAGCCAGAGATGATCGAAGAACGTGTCGTGCAGATCACAGAATGCTGTCGGAACATTCTCTGGTGGGCCTATAGAAACAGGTCGGGACGCCTCGCCACTGCCTGACATCCTGGCCGCGAGCCCGAGAAGCGCGCAAGCACGCGGGAAGCCGCTACTACACCTTGGGCGTCGGAGGGCATGCACCGCCCACCTTCGGTTGACCCAAAACAGGGGTTCAGCTGCCAGGGGGGGGGGAGTAAATTAGAGTTGGCACAACCGTATTGCAAACGTACTGCGCCAGAGAGCTGTATTATATTGTACTGCATCTGATGTCTTGCGCGCGAACACCCAGCAATACATCTGCGCACCGGAAGAAATCTCTTGCACCCCCACAAGTCTACTACACTACATATACCGGCCAGCGTTTTATTATTCGGCGTTTCGACATTGGGCGGAAGGGGGGGGAGGAGGGGGGGTCTGGCTCCGGACCTCTGTGCGTCCTCTGGGGGAGGGACTCCACCTGCTCGAAACAGGCACCGAAAACAACCAAGATCTGCTCCATGGAGGGGGGAAGGGGGGGGTGCGAGGGCCCGCGCCGATTGGCCAAACAATGAGTAAGAACACGTCGACCTACAGCTATTGCGCCACTCTCTTTTCGCTGAACCCCCTTTGGGGTCAACCAGACCGCCGCCGCTGCCGCTGGTCGCCGCCGCGGCGCCGCGGCGCAGCTCCGGCGCGCGGCGCTCCGGGGGCGCCACGCGCAGGGGCCTGCGGGCGCCGGAGGGGGCGGTGCTCGCAGAGGCAACAAGAGTGCACCAACACCTCAGGCTCGAGAGTTTAAGACATGCTGGAGCCCTTAGAGATATCGACTCCGAGTGCTTCGGGTATGCTTGAAAGAAAAGAGAAGGAGGGGGGAGGAGGAGGAGGAGGAGGAGGAGGAGGAGGAGGAGGAGGAGGAGGAGGAGGAGGAGGAGGAGGAGTAGGAGGAGGAGTAGGAGGAGGAGGCGGAGGAGGAGGAGGAGTCCCGAGGTCGTCGCTGCGAAGCGGAGATGCGTCCATCACTACGGCCTGGGGGGTCGGTGTTCGGGGGCCGCGGCAAGCGGTGAATATGGATATGTCTGGCCGACTGCGGGAATCCCGAACCCAGAAATGTCGACCTCCACATTGTGCATCCCCTGCCTTCCGCTGGCCTTCCGCTGGCTTCCGTCGGATCCACCAGCGGACCCGCCGCCGTTTATCGGGGACGCACTGGCCCGAATCAACGCAGACCCG